GCCGCGGCCGCCCCCTGGCCCGCCGAGCCGGGCCGGCACCCCCGCCTCAGGCTCTTCCATGCGGGGCGGGTCCGGCGCGATGGGCTCCACGTCGCCCCAGCCCGGCGGCGGCCCCGGGCCTCCCCGCAGGGTCGGCGGCCGGACAGCCCCTTCCACGCGTTGTTGGGCCGGGCCGGGCCGGGCTGCCCTTATATGTACTTGGCTGGAGCCGGCGGCTGCGGGCGCACACGGGCGGTTGGCTTCGGTCCCCCGCCGGGGAGAGGCCTGCGGCCCCCCGCGGGCTGCGGGCCGGGCTGCCCTGCCTTCAGGCGACCCCCAGGATGGGCACCCGCCCTGCCTGGGTGGGGGCACCCACTCGTGGGCCTTCGGTCTGCCGGGCGCTGGGCCCTGTCTCGCCTGCCGGGATCCAGCCGTACTTGCTCTTTGTTTGGTTTGCACCTCGGAGATGGTCCCCGGCCTCGCTGTTGCTGTATTCCTTCCGCCGTTCTGCTTTGTGCTGCTGTCTGGGAGAGGCTGTCGTCGTGTCCTTGGTACCTCCCCAGTTGATTGTTTGTATCTTCCTTTGTGCTCTCTTTAAACATCTTTGCGCTCTTCCTCTGCTCCGCCCGGACTTGATGGAAGAGAAGCGCAGTGTTGTTCTCCGTTGCAGTGGTCTTCCTGCAGAAAATGACCAGTCTTGGTTAGGATAGGTGGTAGACCTGAGAGATCTTAAAATCCTGGCCTGTGTCTGGTCCTGTCCATTGATGGTGATTATTTAAATAGGCGGTAGCATGGGAGGTGTGAAATTTGCATCTTAGGTGAGGGGACCAATGTTAGAAGAGGTATGTTTGGAATGTGCACTAGATATCGCTACTTGCCTTTGGGAAGGTGGCAGAAGGTGCAGAAAAAGGAGTCATATGAAATTTAATGCATGCAGGCATTGCACCCAACCTTTAGTTGAGTGGAAAGTGGGTTGAAATCGGTTGAAGAAGATGCTGTTTTGTATTGTATCAATCCATGGAGGTACTGGCCAACACTAGGAGCTCATAACGTTTGTTACTGTGCAAACCAAAGCAGCAGTGCCCGCTGAATAGGTTACTGAATTATATGAAAGGAAAAGTATGCATGAGAAGAGGATTTGGAAGACAAAGGTAACAGAAATGAAATAATATAGTTAAAGAAGTGAAACCCTAGCTTGGTGTCTTATTATAATGAGCTTATAATGAGTATCAGTCGCTCAGTGGAAGTTGAATTGACATAGCTGGTTCCTAGTTGAAGCTTAAGGCAGGTAGATGCATTTGGTATGTCCTTCATAGACTGATGATCCTGTATTAGTGTCAGAACGAAAGCGTGTGCTTGAGACGAAATTGAAAGTTTAGTTAGATTTAACTAAATGACAAAGTCCAGGTTTGAGTGATGCATGTTACTCGTGAGTCTGCATTTCAAGTGTATATAGGAATGTAGATGAGAGATGACAGGAAGGGATAAGAAATATGTATGTATCCAGTAATATAGTACATAAGAATTACAAAGCACATTTACACAAGGCAAATGGAAATATTCTCAAATGTCATCAGCTTCTATAAAATGAAAACTTCAATTAAAGTGTTAGTAGTTCATTTAGAAAATACTGTGCTACTTTTGGATGCTTGATTTTGACACCTAGAGATAAGTAAGGATTATTTTATTATTTCAGAGAGTACATGGAGTATCTAAAAAAAAAAAAAAAAAAAACAATTTTGTACAGGATATCAAAATATTCAAAATTGCACATTTGGTCCTGAAAATCTTGGTGTGAGTCTGTAACCTAATACCAATAAATATACTCCTTCAGTCAGATCAGCAGTAAAGAGTTGTGCAGCTCTTTGCAGGAATTTCCCAAACATGCACAAAATAATTCTAGCGCTGCCATCAGTATGGCCTCTGATGGGTTCCAGAGCAGAGATCTCTTGGAGGTTGTTGCTTCTGCCCTCTGGGGAGCCTCGGGAAGCCCTCTCCAGTACCTGTGGTCTCACTCACCAAAGACCTTTTGCTGAAGTGGCCAACGTGGGATGGAGGAGGAGGAGGAGGAGGAGGTTGGTTGCTGACTTCCCGAAGAGCAGCATTCCTGGGTTTAAAATGGACTCTGTTAGGGTGAGGTGATACTCTTAATTTACTTTTAATGTGCTTCCTCCTGCTAATAAACGCTAATGGACTGGGTAAGTGTTTATGCTGATGGGCCTTGATACCCAAAGTTTGGCCAGTCAGCTCTGGGTAACTGAGGTGGTGAGAAGTTGTTGGAAAGAGTGAGGAGTTAGAGAGCAGCATAAATATAAATGATTTTGGCCTGGTAAATAAATCCATCTTTGTAAGGCATATTTCCAGTTCCCGAGTACGTATATTAGCAAAGCTCTCCCAAGTCCTGCAGCTAATGGTGATCTTCAGGAGAGTGCTCTTCTCTTCCCATCTCACACACGTGGCCATCTCGGCAACGTTGCTCCATTGTGTGTCTCTCAGGGGACAGAGTAGCTCTGTATCCCAGAGGGAGCTGATGGATGGCTCTGGGTACAAACCTTCGTGCGTGCCCAGCTGCGCTGTGCACGTGGTGTGAGGTCGTCCCATGAAATCATGGGGAACTGCCCCACCACCGCCACCCCTGCCGCTTGTCAGCTGCTTTCAGTGCTCTTTAAAATGGAAAATAAATAAAATTTCAACGTATGTTCTTCTCAGTTGAATATGCAAGCGTATGTTCTGTCATTTGGGAAAAAAGAATTACAATAATTGGTTATAGCACCTATCATAAGAATATGCATTCCTGGAGGAATTATGGGAGTTCCTGGGGGATGGGTGAAAAATGTGCGTATTTCCATAATTCTTTATGCCTTTTATCCATCAGTGCTCTTTGAAAATAGTCTAGAAGGGGTAATATTGTGTAGCAGATTACTCGATAAGGTCTTATCAGGAAGCTGGAGTGAAAGGTATAGGGGCCACTGACAACGGACAAACAACAGGTGGAGGGAAACGGCGGTTGTGAACAAGTCAGGGTGTTATAACTGATAGGTCTGCTCTACAGAAATTCACACCCTTTTTTTTTTTTTTCTGCTGCCTTTCCCTTTTTGCTATTCTTTATGTCTCCCCGTGCTGCATTTAACTTTTCTAGCGTATGTCCATAAATATTTTGCATTGGAAATGCTATTTCTCTTTCATGAAAGCTATGTTTAAGGAAACAAAATAGAATATGATTGTCAGGCAGTTATTCCCATTGAATGGTTTATTGGGAAACTTGGGGAAATGAATGGGTGGAGGCAGTACAGTAAAGATTATTTTCATGCCTATTACCAGATTGATTTCTTTCAAGTGAGGGGGAAGAGTAGTATTTAAAATAATAAACTTCCTGTGTTTTGATTTTGTACGTGTCATTATTTACAGCTTTTCTTGAAGCTGTAAGGTGGGCTGCAGCAGGTGATGTCTCGGTGTGTTCAGACCCTTGCAGCTGGGGTTAGTTTGGGTGAACTGAGCTTCCCATCGCTGCTGAGGCTGGAGGAGGAGAGGAGTGGGAATCCAAAGCTCTGAGCTAGAGCAGCTCTTTTGTTTTCATTGAGTTGGTATTAATTGAGGAGAGAGGGGCTTTTCTGTTTTTTCCCTTCATATTGTATTGCATCATGCCATTAAATTATGGGGTGGTTTTCCTGAATACAACAGTAATAGATTCTCTTACATGTTTTTGGGGAGCTTTCTATAAGACTCAGACTCAACAGTCGGCTGTAAGCTACTTGCTTTAGTAAAATTAATAACGATGAGAATGCTGTAGCTTGCTTTTTCTGACATAAGAACCTCTTAGTCTGGCACAAGAATACATTTATTTTTTTTCTATAGTAAGTGTAATTTAATTTTTTGACGGCATTACTATTATTTGTGAAGGAATTACTATTTATTTGTGTTGTGGTGTCACCCCTCTAGCTAAGTTTTAAGGCATTACTTTGCTTTGTGCTTTTTAGACACGTAAAAGTTGTTAGTTCTGTTGCAGAGATCTTGCAGGTTCAGGGCGGAGGCAGGAGCCATCAAGGCAGGAGCCCGGGACGGTGACGCCAGCCGGAGCCGAGGAGGAGTGTGGGAATCCTGGTCTGTCTGACCTCGCC